TAAGTTTGCACAATTTTCCAGAGGGAATGGCGGTGTTCCTTGGATCAATCAAGGTAGTTATGACTTTTTAATTATTTTGGTAGAGTAAATTATTTTAATTGTTCCAGACCTGATTTCATTTAAAAATAACTGTTTGAGTTCATTATCTTTTTCTTTTATATGTAGCTATCCTAGTCCCGAGCCTATATTTAGGGCAACCTTATTATATCTCTATATTGTTTTTGTTTTCCACTAAACTGAGATACAATTTCCTAGTTCGAATCTGGCCTTTCTTAAGTTGTGTTCAAACTTACTTTAATATGTCATTTCTAAGAAATGTGTACTGGATAGTTGACCCTTTAAAAGTTATTTTTGAAATGCATCCACAAACAATGGTTCTCTGCACTTTTTCGAGTATGAATTCCAGAATAAATTTGTTGTTTATTTCTCGGTTTAATGTTTGCATTTCTGGAGACATTGAGATACTGAATTAGAATTGGACAAGGGATTTTTCAGTATAAAGGTAAGTTAATGTGGTTTCAAATGAGCAAGGCCCTGTTAGCGAATCTTTCTAATCATGAGTTGTTCCTCTCAGGGTCTCCGTGTTGGTCTGAACTTGGCACTGGCTATTGCTTTGCACAACATACCTGAGGTATCTCTTCAAATATCATTTTTTTCGTATTTCTGCTCGTTTGATGGGAAATTTTCCGCAGAATCTTGATGCACATGCTAATTCCTTAGTTATTTTAACTTCTAACTATATCTTGAGTTGATATACACGATGATACATAGATACTTCACCTAACATATCCACCAATTGCTACACACTTGACACTTCAGGGTTCAACGAGAAAGATGGAAAGAAGCGTTTTTTAAGTTCATAGTGAATACCGAGTTACTCTTTTCAAAGAGCAATTAAATTATACCCATATTACTAATTTATGTTTAAGGTTGAATAATTATCTAGTTTCTTCAATGCTTCTGTAGCGGTTTCTGTATTGTAAGATAAGTGGGTGCCTCAAAATAGCCTCCCTTTTTTTTTTTAAAATCCAAAAGTTATAATCAATATCTCAGCAAGAAAATTTGGTCATGAATTATTGTTGACTGGTTGAGTGACTTCTAGGATGTGAGTTCACGTAACCTTAACCTGGTCTGTTGATTTTGAATTGTGATGGATTATCTGAAAATGTCATTCCTTTGATATCTGAATCATATACATCTGAGTTGATATTTGTTTTGAGCTTGTTCGATTTGGCATTAAAATTTGTCGAGGAAGATGCCAATGACCTCGTCCATCCGAGCACTGCTTTACATACACCCCTGAATTTTAGCAACTCCAATGTCATTCAAAATCACAATTACACCTATCTTTCAATTTGGGCCTACTTTTTTATAATTTGAGCACAAACCTTGGGTGGGTATCTTTCAATTTCAAAGATAATATAACTTTATGTTTTAGGCCAAAATTTCTAGAGTGGTTTTGTAATCGTTACCTGGACTTTGGTGCCGTGCAAAAAATTGATGGTAAGACAAATACTTGGTTTCACATTTCGAATCTGAGATCCTTATTTTTGGTGTTTTCACAGGGTGTAGCTGTTGCACTTCCTGTTTATTTTGCTACACAAAGGTACAATTCTTTATGTTACTATGCTCCAAACAAGTTAAGTGAAAGGGCTGTGGTAGTCATGAAAGCTTGCAATCAATACATATTTAGTACATTTTGGTTTCCCTACAAGCCCTCACGATTAGCTAAATTTTTAACTTCCTTCTGAAATGAAGTTAATTAAATAAAAATGCTGGTGAATTATTTTTGAATCGAAATTATTTGTATTCATCTTGTATTTGGTTTATTTGCATTTTCGCCTTCAGCAAATGGCAGGCATTCAAGTTGGCTACCCTTTCCGGTTTCGCCGAGCCCCTCGGTGTAATTATTGTAGGTCTGACCTCAAAATTAAACCACAGATATACAAATAAAGCAATCAATATTGAAATTCTGGATTTCACGTTCTACTTTCGATTTACCATTCACAGCTTACTTGTTCCCGAGCAGCTTGAATCCTGAAATTCTGGAGGGGCTTCTTGGATCAGGTTTACCTTCTGCTTCAGTCATATTTACTTTCGATTTACCTTCGCTTTCCTTTATATTTTTCCCATTCGTGTTACTTGCAGTTGGTGGAGTAATGGCTTTTTTGACCTTGCATGAAATGTTACCCCTGGCATTTGATTACGCCGGGCAAAAGCAAGCCGTAAAAGCTGTATTCGTCGGCATGGCTTTCATGTCTGCTAGGTAATATTCTTTCGCCAAATCGCGTAATTACGAAAGACCCCAAGTATCTTTTCAAAGTACTAACGCCCCCTTAGACTCGAGAGATGGTTGTGATTTCTGTAATTAGGCCAAACAGCAAGGGTTCTTTCTGCAAATATATTAGAATATATGTGGTGTATTCAACTTAGATAGAAGAAAATGGAGTAACGGAGTAACCTTAACAGTAAAAAAGACAAAAAAAGTGGTACTTTTACAAATTATTCAGATTATTTTCCTTTTTAATGATTTTTTTTTATTTTATTTTTATATCTGCAGCCTATATTTTCTGGAGATCAGCTTGCCAGCAGATTTGAGCTTGTAATCGATGCAACCATCATAACGTACTATGGATACTCTAAATTGGTCTCTCCCAAATCCTAATCTACTGTGCTACATCTACTGTTACTATGCGCATTTAATTGTATATGTACGATCAACCGGCCATTGACCTGGCACGTGTATAGGTCCATTCCGGGTCCGGATCAATGTTTTCGAACCCGGCAGTCTGGGCCAGGTCGTGACCCGGCCCGGGTTTTGGCCATGTCTAGATGAGAATTTCAGATCACAGATTCACATGCTTACAAATATGGATAATTAACACTCCCTTTACATTGATTCACAGAGTTACTTTAAATACAAAAGAAATAAAGAACAAAGAAATTAAAGTTTAAAAATGTCATTTTGGCTTTATCAATCATTAACCAAATAAATGAGATTTGAATTTTTGTACATATTTTTTCATTATTACTCTCATTTAGCTAATAATACTTACATCTTTTCATATTCACTTTTATATTTTCTCAAAACATTTATCTGTATCTTCATTAAAGAAGGCTATTATCGGCAAAAAGAATATTCTTAATTATTGTGCAATTTTTCAAAATGACACTTATTACTCCCTCCTATTCATAATATTTGTCGTTTTGAGAAGTTGCACAATTATTAAGAATTTTTTTTTACAAATAATAACCCTCATTAATGAGGATAGAGATGAATGCTTTGAGAAAAGATGAAGAGTGAATATGAAAAGACGTAGTGTATTTATTAGGTAGATGGGGGTAATAATGGAAAAATATGTACAAAATATCCAAAACGACATTTATTTTGTTAATAGTTAATGATAATGACATTTAAAAAGAATAGGAGGTAGTATATAATAGGAGGGAGTACCATGTTTATAATTGAATTGTTATGTTGACTAGTCTTAGATGAAGTTTTAGATTTCAATAAAACATTACAAAAAAATTGTTATATTCCAACGGGAAATTCTATGATAATATATTCCGATGGAAATTCCAACGGATATTTCAACGGTATAGCTTTCGTTGGAATGATTCCAACATAAATTCCAACGAAAAAATTTCGTTGCAAATGTGTCTTTTATTGGAATTTTAGATGGATTTTTTATTATTCCAAAGCTATATTTTCAACGCTTTTTTACTGTAAGATTTTTGTTGGAATTTTTATTTTCACCCCCGTCAGAACATCTACCGTTGAAATCGTAAAAATTTAGCGAAAATTTCAATAGAAAACTCATTTGTTGAAGTCGAAAATCTGACAATCAACGGTCGAATGTAAGTCGAATTTCTTGTAGGAAAATGAAGAATAAGATGATGAATGATGAAGTTCTCCTTTCTTATTTTGGAGAGAATCTCTCCCTTTTTTATTGTTGGGGAAGATGAAAAAATGAGAAGAGCCAAATTGTAACGAATAAACGCGACTTCATGACAGTTCAATCCAGAGCATGCCCTAAACTCGGGGGCATCATGTTGATACCTAATTTGGCTCCAATTAATTAAATAATAAATGAAACAATAAAATACGATTCGACGACCAAGGTGCCGAAGATACGTAATCAATGAATGTACAAAAAGGTTCTCAAGACAGATCACTCGAAAGCCGGTCAGATCCCTAGGTGTCGAGTCCGTCCACTACCGAGTCGGACATAATTTAAAGTAATCGGATGGCCCACATATCATGAAGAAGCTGCCTTCGGCAAACGCGACAAATGCCGATTAGACAGATGTCAATTGGAACTGTCAAAAATAATAAGCGGGTCCTATGATGATTATCTCACATTAAATAATGATATGTATAATTTTTTACTTATTTAATTACCCACTTGCAAATGATGAGGGGAACATATATATATATATATATATATAAAGAAGGCAAAAAAGAGGTCTTCTCATTTTTTCATCTTCCCCAACAATAAAAAAAGAAAGACATCCTCTCCAAATTAAGAAAGGAAAACTTCATCATCCATTATCTTATTTTTCATTTTCTTATAAGAAATTTGACTTATATTCGATCGTTGATCATCCGATCGACGTCAAATATAGGCAAAACTTAAAATCCGTTATATTGTATTAGTAGACTAGTTTGTTCAATTTGTATACACAGCAATTACAAATTCAATTTACATGAAAATTGATAAAGGTAAACTAATATAAATCCACATTACTAAATTATATATGATTTTTTTTTTTTGTCTATGTAGAGAACCACATCAAATTAATAATGGAATCCTTACAAATGTAAAATAATTAATAGGATTATGCTTTATTTTTATGAATTTACTTCCTAAGACATTCAAAATCTACTTACTATTTTTAACTAATTGTCTGGAGACTCGATTTTGTTGTACTATTCAGGATGATTAAATTTAAGTATAAATAATTCGAAGTCAATATTTTAGAATGAAATTTCAAGCAAGAGAAGAGATATAAATATTGAATGAATAAATTAAAATATATTATTACTTATCATTTAACACAATAACAAAATGCATAATTAAGTTAATTTTTAAAACATAACCGTTACAGTTTTTATGAATATTATAATATTTATTAGAAGTTAAATATGTAAAAACAAATAAAAATAAATAAAACATACTACTAAAAAGCTGAAAATATTAGATTTAAAAACTTTTCTTTTGCAATAAATGAATAAGATACAATTATATCATTATTAGATTCTATAAATTTCATGAAAGGTTGCAGCATAATGTTCTCTTTCTTCATCATCATTCCCTTTTGCATTAATGACAACTTATTATTATTATTATTATTATTATTATTATTATTATTATTATTATTATTATTATTATTATTATTATTATTATTATTATTATTATTGTTATATATTTTTTTTTTTTTTTATCTTTCTTTACATATTATGTGTAAATAAAAAGGACCCCACTCAAAAAGTGATGCAATTTTTCGATCGGGTGGGATCATCCACTATTGAGATATGGTGCTATAGAATTGATTATATTATATTCTACTCGCAATTGGTTTTATGATGAAATCTTACTTCGGTATTATTTGGACTCACCCCGTCATAGTGTGTTTTACATATGTGAGACCGCACTCATTTTTCTCGGTTCTTACATGGTATCAAAGTCGGTTCTACGTGGGGCCGTGCGATGATCACTCAGTGAGAGGCATATTATAATATAATACTACTTGTTAGTTGTCTCACATCGTTTATATAGAAAAAAATAAACCAAACTTATAAGCCTAGTAAACTATTCTTCTTACTACCAATTGGTAGATTCACCCTATCATGATGTTCTTCACGTACGTGGGACTACACACATTTTGCCCCCGTTTCTTAAAGAAGAAATAATTCAATAATGCAATGATTAATGTTAATTATAGAATAATTTGACAAATATAAAATAATAATTGATTGAAAAAGAGATAATAAATGAAATAAATTATATACTATAATATAGATGTCTTAAAGTCCTCCCATACCAAGAGAGACTTTTAGGCAAGGACCTCTAGATATGCAGCATATGAGTTTTGGGCATATGATAATGAAATTGAATAATCCATGAACCACCTTTAATGTTATTCAATTTTGGGACCATTGACCATGGTTGAGTTTCCCTTTATTTTGCTATTATAATAATAATAATGATAATAATAATAATAATAATAATAATAATAATAATAATAATAATAATTATTATTATTATAATAATAATATAGACATTTAGAGATGGCCAGTCAAAGGGGCGTCCTATGGATGAGCTTGATCGGCCTGCCAAAATCCAAGGGCCGCGCCTGTGAACTGGCCCTGTCCCGGGACCCAAAAAAAGTGTGAACCGAGACCGAATCAGCAAGGGCACGGTCCCGATTCTCGGAATCGCAGCTTTTCGGGTTGGTATCAGGCCAGTCCGACCCCGCAACCATGTATATGGATATTTGTATAGATGACCAACTGTCGGACCGCGACTCGGCCCGGCCCGCCGGGTCGGCGGGCCTCAATAATATGGCCCGTGACCGCTCGAAAAAA